GGTCCCAACTTCCAAAAAATCTATCCCTTCCACCTCTACGAACAGCAATGTTGAGCAAAGGTTGAGTGAGGTAGAGAATATGTTGGGTGGATTAATGCAGCTAATGAAGGCAAGATTCCCTAACGAGAATATCACAGATATTTTACAAGCTGCCAACGAATTAGCTGCTGCCAACAGATTGGATAGAGAGGTAAACTTCTTTGTTGAACCATTTAATTACTTTTTGATGCTATTATTATTTTAGTTTTAAGTTTTCACTATTTCTTAAGGAGTTCTTTGTCTTCTTGCAGATATATGGTTTGGTAAATGACAAGGCCAGTGCTAGGGGCACTCGCCTCCTGCACTCTCCAGCCAACACTCCCCCTTTCATTAGGCCATGTAAGGTTGTTTAAGCTCTGAAGTGCAACCTCTTAGTGAACTGAAATAATGTGGCCCACTGAAAGGAGTGTTGGCCGAAGAGTTCAGGAGGTGAGTGCCCTTAGCACTGCTCAGATGACAAATAGATTTTTCATTGGGAGTTTTGCTTTGACAAATGTGGCCATCAATAAAAAAAAATCAATGAAAAAAAAATTTTGAGCTTATAGTTTATTCTTTTTTGTAGCTCCAGTCTTAAGTTGTAGTTTCTCATCTCTTCTACTTTGGTTTTTGGTGAGCTTATGTTTTTGTTATTTTCAATTTTCATGGAAATCTATACTCATTGAATTTTATTTTTTAATAGGCACATGCGGCCCGTCAAGAGGTATTTAATACTCGAAATTTAATCTATACCTCTTTGTTCGGGTTTCACTATTTTCAAAGTTTAATCTCTCAAATCTTTTTTTTGTTTTTTCATTTCTTTTGGTTGAATTTTTGAAATTTTAGTTATCCCTGAATTTCTTTCTACTGAATTGTAGGTTCCGGATGCTAACAGTGGGCAAGCTTTTTCCCCAAATAATCGTTCCTCTTCACATTCAAGCTATCACCTTTTGTCTCACCAAAATGAGGGTAATGAAGAAAATGATAGGCAAAGGGACTGAAAGGCATGTTTGTATCTCTTCTTGGATCTATAATTTCTAGTGACAAGCATTTAATTGAACTTCTTCAGATTCGGCAATTTTTGTTTTTGCCAAGATCTGCTGTTTTGAGATTGATATATATCTATGGAATTCCTCTTTTATGGTTGCCAATTTAGTGCATCAATTAACTATTTTTTTTTTTTGAATTTTTGATGGCCTTTTTTATTGTGCTGAATAGTTTGATTTGCATAGACTAGCTTAGTTTGAGCAATTGTGTGCTTTGAAGGGATTGATTCGTGCAAGTGGTTAGGAAATTGCAAAGTAGTGTTTTTCTCTTTCTTGTTTGTGCAGAGTTAATGTATTTGGTTTTGGTCTTGGTCTTTTGGAAGTTCTACTTGCATTTGGATTTTCAAAACAATCATTCTCTAGCTCAGAAAAATTGTATTAATAATAAGTTAAAGAGAAAATTATTAAATAAAAGTGAATTATCAATTGCAAAAAAAAAAAAAAAAGATCTATACTAACGGTATTATCCATCTGTAATGGTTAAAGCCTATACCCACGGCAAAATTTTTTAAAATTTTCGAGGGTCTATACTAACGGAATTATCCATGTTAGGTCTATACCCACGGCAAAATCTCTTAAAATTTTCCAGGGTCTATACCAACGGACGAATTTTTCATCGGAATAGATCCCAGGGTCTATACATACGGATTTATCGTCGGTATACACCCTATACTAACGAGGTTTGCACCGACTGAAAGGACTTCCGCCGGAATAGTCCCAAGGGTCTATACTGACGAAAAAATGGTGTATACAGACGGAAAACTTCCGTCAGTATAGATGCATCTGGTTGTAGTGATTGCTGCTATGGATAGAATTAATTAAGGCAAGCTGATTCTTAAGAAGTAGGGCGGGCGAGGTAGGGGTGTCTGGTTCCACGCATTAACAGTAGTCAATGGCACTCGTCAACGTTTGTTTTTCCACAAGTGGGTCTAATCGGACCAATCCTTTCCTTGCATGTGCTGCTTGTCATTCCTTTCACCTTCGCATGTACAAAGCTAATCAATATCCTTTCCCAACCACCCTGAATAATATTAAATTATATAGCAAAATTGTAAACTACACCGCAAAGGTAGAGCCAGAAAATAAAATTAAGAAATAAATATACATTTTTTAATTTTTTTTATTTTTGGTTTTTTATTTATTGAAATTTTTATTTAAATGATAAATAATACTTCATTATAATAATATTCAAATAATAAAATTTTAATATAACATAATTGTAAGGATAGGTCCGAGGTTAAGGACCTCGGATATACTGCTATAATTCTTTAATAACCGAAGTGGAACACTTCCTAGTCAAACAGCTGCATGACAGTTATGGTGAGTAGGCCCACACAAGAATTTCTCTTAATTTTCCGATCTCGAGTTTACCACTTTAAGGGACACGTCACACTCCGATTATCCTGTTAAGCAAGCCACATGGACACCTCACTGAGGCCTATAAATACCCACCAAGGGCCACATCAAAAAGGTAATTGAAACCGATCTAAAACTCTTCTTTAATTATTCTAAAAAGGTAAATCCGATTATTGCTGACTTAAGTATCGGAGTGTCTACCCCGAGGATCCACCTCAAGGTTTTACAAGTTCATCCAAAGTGAAAACTTGGACCGAAGAAAGGCTTCTAGTTTGGTGCAATTACAATAATTTATACAATGAAATTTTTAATCTAACAATTAATTTTTAAAAATATTAATTTAAAGATAAATTTTAAGAAATATTCTTCAATTTCTTTTTTTTTTAAATGATGACTTATACTACACTCCCATGTATATATATATATATATTTTTTTTTTTTTATCAGCAAAAAGAAATTTATTAACATATACACTCCCATGTAGGGGTGGGCAAAAACCGGTTTCGGTTAAAATCGAAATTGATTTTGAATTAACCGAAAAAAATTCGGTTTTAATTTTACAAACCAAAACCGAACCAAAATTGTTATAAGTTAATCGGTTCGGTTACTGAATTTTATCAATGAATTTGGTTCGGTTT